TGACTGTAAAGCTGTTCTGGCTGAGTTTTCTGGTAGATCTACGGATTATGGTTCTTCTTTTCAAAGACAAAAGTCACAGAGATCTCCGAAAAAAGGTTGGAGAAAGTACGACTCGTACTTCGTTCGAAAAAATATTTTCGATGTGTGGGTCAAAACAGCGTCTTCATCTTCTTCAAAAAATCAAAGAAAAGCTTGTATGACGTGGCCGGCCAGAACTGAAAGATTTGTTCTTTTTTTATACGTGGCAAAGAACTGCTTGTTCGAACTGTAAATGTGTAATCATGGCACGTTTGGCTATTTGTTGGGCTGGCTGCCTCTTGTTAGCACTTCTGTGCACGACAGGATATTGCCAAGCTGAAGTAGTGGAAATCACGGACAGTAATCTCCAAATGCTCCACGAGGGCGAATGGATGATCAAATTGTAAGTGAACATTCATGATCAAATTTTGAATTTCACGTGATTGCAGTGTGTCAAAATAATAACCAGCTTTGTGATGATTTGTTGTCAGTCATGCACCATGGTGCCCGGCATGCCAGCAGTTTGCAGCACCGTGGATATCATTGGCCAGAGAACTCAAGGAGACCCACCCCCACGTGCGATTCGCCAATGTGGACGTGACTGAACAGCCCAGTATGGTGAACGATTTGATGTTAATGCATTAAGATTTAAGATGTATGAAGCAATTCCTAATAGCCATGTATAGCAATTCCTAATAGCCATAAATGACTCGGTCTACTTGCGACAAGTCATGCACTTTTAAGTCGCGCGCTCGCGATAAGCCGTGCACTTTTGCCATCCGTATAATATGTACTTGCTGTGTATCCCTAGACCTGCTAATACTGGGGTGTGAACTGATGTGTATCCCTAGACCTGCTAATACTGGTCTGGGTGTGAACTGGTGTAGGGCGCAGACTTGACTTGCATGATTGGATTTCATTGAGCAGCACTTTAGTTCTTTAAAGCCGAGTTCTTCATAACAGAAATGCACTCACACACACCGGCATACAAGCAACACGTCTTGGCTATGGCCAGTGGCTACATGGGTGCACTTGGCTGACATGCCTGCCCACAAGCTATGATTCGTTAACAAAAACAGTTTGCAGTAAAGAGTCAATGCTGTACGGGTTCAACCAGGGACTGGAGAATGGTTCCCTAAATTCATTACATGCATGTTTGTGAAAAGTGGAATTGACTTTTTGCAGCTCTCAAAGATGATGGCTTTCCACTCTGCACGTAAATTCACGACTTGTGAGAATACCGGTAGTTAGACTGACATACTGAGGGACTTGAGGTGTAACCTAGAATTGGGTGACCACCACCTCTTATCACATACAGACCCAGTGCATACGCTATTGTCTTTTATGTGTACCGTATTTTTCGGAGTATAGTGCGCACCTTTGTATAACGCGCACCCCCAATCTTCATTGGGGGTGCGCACTTCAATCTTCATTGAAGTACATGCATTTCATATTCGGAGCATAGTGCGCACCTGCGATTTAGGTGCCTGGTTTCTCTACCGAAATTACTGACAATAATGCTACACCAAAAATAACGTGTTATGCAGTATGCCTAGCTGGATGTCTGCACCAATTCCTGAAAATAATTATTATTCCCGTAGCTATGCAGAAGACGTTACTTCAGTAACGTCTGGCGCTAGCCAGGGTCCACACAGCTTTAATTCCCGTAGCTATGCAGAAGACGTTACTTCAGTAACGTCTGGCGCTAGCCAGGGTCCACACAGCTTTAATTTGGTGTTTGTTTGTTTGTTTGTTTGTTTGTTTGTTTGTTTGTTTGTGTCACGCCTGGCGCTATCCCGTATCTGTCCCGTACTGTACCGTACCAGCCAAGATAGCTGGCCACAATATTTTTGTTTGTTTGTGCCATCGACATGCCTGGCGCTATCCCGTACCTGTCCCGTACCATCAAGAGTACGGTACCATCAAGAGAATGAGTATATATGCGCAGTGTATCGGGGGAATGCATTCAGTGCAGTAACATTTTGTGTGGATTTGTGTGCGAGGCCGAGATCCCACTAGCAGGCTGGCTGGGCCGCCTGTCGACCAGCCCGGGAATCGCATGTATGCGGAAAGCATAACGTTTATACCAGGAAGTCGTAAAATACCTGGTATTTTACGACTCCCTGGTTTATACAGTCATGTAGATGTATAGCAGGGAGTCATATTATGTAAACGACTCCCTGCTGTATGGGGAGATCTTCTGGAAAGAAATACGAAGTAGGGAGACGAGTAAATGCAATCAGAATGGATGTTAGTTGCCGTCAGTATAATGATAATAAGAAGAAGATAAACGCCCGTGATCGGCAGAGTCAGCGCTGGTCCCAGGAAACGTCAGGACAGACATCCCGTCGACTCCAGAACGCCCGTGATCGCAGAGTCAGCGCCGGTCCCATAGCTATGCAGAAGACGTTACTTCAGTATCTCATTGAAACGTTTTTGCAATACAATGATGTAGCTTATCAAAGGAAAAAGCATTTCCATCAGTTCTAACAACATGCACGAGGAGCTAGGCAACAAAGCATAGCGCAGGGCCCTGAGCTTCCAAGCTCTCTCGTTTGGTATTTGTTTGTGTGTTTGTTTGTTTGTGTCACGCCTGACGCTATCCGTATCTGACGGCAAAAAAGCATAGGATGTTATAAATTTTTCAATTCTCCTATTTTTTTTAAGGCATATCCTGGGATTCGAACCCGCACTATCGCCCTACATGCATTCCCCCATACACTTCGCATTCATACTCATTCTTCCAAGTTGCTTCACGTTATTATCTTGCGTTTGAAAGCCCTATTTGAATATTGCGGGCAGCTAGACGGTGTCGTATTACCCTCGATCGTACCTGTCCCGTACCTATCCCCTACCGTACCGTGCCATCAAAGACGACTGGCCACAATGCATATTCAAATAGGGCTTTCAAATGCAAGATCACAATGTGAAACAACTAACTGTTACTTGGAAGAATGGGTATGAATGCGAAGTGTATGGGGCATGTAGGGCGATAGTGCGGGTTCGAATCCCAGGATCCCAGGATCCCAAAATCCCAAAAAGGATTTTTTTAAAGAATTTATAACATCCCTATGCTTTTTTTTGTCTAGGTCATCAAGGCAAAAAAGCATAGCGTAGGGCCCTGAGCTTCCAAGCTCTCTCGTCTGCACTGCACTGTGCGTGATGCTAACTCATTGGTGTGCATTTTTTTGTTGCTCTTGCTTATAGTTCTCAGCGGTCGGTTTTTAATTCAGCATCTCCCAACCTTGTATCAGTGAGTGACTGGGGTAATGTTGCTTATGTGTAGGATAATCTACATGATTTTAGTGAATGGGGCGCTACTACTATGCGCATGTACTATACTAGAGGAGACAGATTCGTAGTGTAGCCCTTTTCAGTCAGCTCTGGAAGATCATGTGACGCGACATAGTGTACAAAATTCACCCTATTTTCATTTTTGCAGCCGAGGATACAGCAAGCTCCTTTTATTTGGAAGTTTTGCGGTAAACTGCACTCAGAAACGAGTCTGATTCAGCAGACTATACATTGTTCTCCTTTGATCTTGAACTACATGCACTAACAGCTGCTTCTTACAAACGATTTGCTGGAGGCTCCGACATTTGGACTTGCAGAGAAACATGCTTCTTTTCCTCGAATGGCAGGGAGCAGCAAGTTGGAACTAAAACCACACAGTGCAGTGTAGTGTAGTCACTTCACACCAGGGCTAGGGAGCAGTAAAACACCGGTATTGAGCAGTAAAACACCGGTATTGAGCAGTAAAACACCGGTATTGAGCAGTAAAACACCGGTATTGAGCAGTAAAACACCGGTATTGAGCAGTAAAACACCGGTATTGAGCAGTAAAACACCGGTATTTACTACTCCCTGCTTCACACTTACATGTAGCTCCCCTTGCTCCAGTAACGCTGCTGTTTTACGGTTTGCAAAGGTACCCACAATGGCTGCATGGACAATCATGTTCAAGACTGACATTCACCATGTTCAAAACATGTATAAAGCCTGAAGGACCTACCCGGTACGTGTTCAAGTCCAGTCCACGCATCGACAGATGGATGAACGTTGAACACGGGCACTTTGCGATACTTTTTATCCTGTTCTGGGCGTTTTGCGAACATGATACGAAAAACTCTAGCTGCTTTGTTTGCGAATTTTGCGATACAGCGCTACGCACCTGGTAGAGTAGGCTAGTTTTGCACCTAGCAGTTCTACGTGTAGTTATTGCACTGCTTCATCATAGTTACGTTTCAGGCTGGTGCCCGTTCTCGTCTACGTGTCATGCCATTGCTGTACACACACTTTACTGCGTGAGACTGCATATGACTGTACATACACTTTACTGTGTGAGACTGCATATGACTGTACATACTAGTAGTAGTACACTGTACTGGCAATACAGTGTAATACAGTGGACTGTACTGCCAGTGATGTCTGTACTGCATTCTCCATGTGTGTGCCTCCTGCTTTGTTGATTTGTGTGTGTGTTTTGCTGTGTGCATGTGTAGTGTCAAGGATAATGCGTTCAGGAAGTATGATGGCAAGAGATCGGAGGAAGATATTGAGGTCTACATCAAGGACGAACTCTGGAAGAATTCTGAGCCTCTGCCATGGTTCACTTCTCCAATGGGACCATCGTGAGTGAAGATGCTAGAAAGAACGTCATAAGTACATGACTTACTTGGTAGTCTTGGGGATGTGGTATGCAGACAGGAATAGAAACAATACAACTGGTACTCATGTCGAATGGAACTAGCGTGGTAATAGCTGCTTACACACGCACACACACACATGTATACATGCACACGCACACACACACACACACACACACACACACACACACACACACACACACACACACACACACACACACGCACGCACACACACACACACACACCTTCACCTTGCCCATTGCGTAGCAATGATAGTGCATTGTTATTTCTCCAGTCCTTGACAGAATGACTGATGGCGTTTCAGGTCGCCCCTTCGACGGAACATGCGGCGACAGGTGCAACTGTAGCTAGCAGCAGAGGGTGCCTTGGGTGGTCGACGGGCAATGGTACGCCACTCCGGATGGTTCTGGGCTGCATCGTACCATCCACATGTTGGTACCGGTGGCTCAACCGACGCGAAGTCATCCACAACCCCGTCCCTCCACCTCTTGCGTGGACCATGCGCCGCCGGGCAGCGCAGGGCAGCGCAGGGCAGCCAGTTGACCTAAGAGAACACACGTTGGCAACCGGTGATCCTCCACCCGTGCCACGTGTCCAAACCAGCGCAAACACCGTTCCCTTATGATGAGATCAATGTCCTCAGGCACTCCTAGGGTCTTTGCAAGGGCCGGGGACATTACGTGTGTCTCCCATTGCTGCTGCCGCGATACTCCGACGATAGTTCTGATACATTGATGGTGGAAGAGGTTGAGGTGTCGTACAGGAGGGTAGAGAGTATCACGGCAACATACACGTGATGACGACACTGTAGACTCAATGACCGGTTCTCGAACACAGCTTGCTTCAAGCTACCAAAGGCTTTGGATGCCTTGCCAACGCGGGCCTGCGCGTCGTGGGAAGACAAACCATTGCGGTGTATGGCACTGCCAAGGTACGTGAACGATTCCACAGAATCTATGGCTTCACCACCATCCGGTGCCATTGGCGCCTTCGTCGGAATGTTCACCTCTATGCCCTTGGTTTTGGCCACGCTAACAGTCAAACCCCATTGAGAAGCACATGAGATAAACTTGGTCGTGGACGACTCGAAGTCTTGCTGAGTGGTGGAGAAGACTGCAGCATCGTCGGCAAAAAGTGTCTCAGTGACACGGGTTGGAAGTAGCCGCGACTTTGCATTGCGGTCGGCAACGAGTTTACGCCCAGGCTTGTGCTTGACGGTATCGCCAACATCCGGGCACACACACGCACACTATGGGCTGCAATATGCAATGCCAACTTAGGAAGAGGAAAGCAAGTTGACGCGAACCCAGTGTTCTTACTCTTTCTCTTTCTTCTTCAATTGAAGCTCTTCTTTTTTTTGCTTCAGCCACTCTCCTTTGGGGATCTGCCCCTCCACGTTGGGGCAATACCTCTTTGGCCTCGGAACTATGTGTGACCTTCTGAGGCCATAGCCTTTCCGCATTTTCCTCAAGCGTATAAATTTCTTTCTTGCTCCGTGTGTTGTTTTGAAGGTGCTACTTCTCCGATAACGTTCACAGAAGCAGGAGCACTCATGCTTTTGGTGCTGGTTGTGGCATTGCTGCATGTGCCGGTACTGCATGTGCCGGTACTGCATGTGCCGGTACTGCATATGCCGGTACTGCATGTGCCGTTACTGCATGTGGCGGTACTGGTTGTGGCGGTACTGGCTGTGCCGTTACTGCATGTGCCGGTACTGTTTGTGGTGGTACTTGCTCTGCTGGCTGCAGCAGCCAATAGCTTTTTCTTATGGCGTCACACTGTTGTTCTGGACACGGAGGACGAGCCAAGTGTTGACTCATGATCTGCCGCCATTGGCTTCATCGGATGGTCGGTTTTCCCACTCGCAGTTGCACTGAGTCGCTTCGCCATAGTATTGGCAACATGTTCAGCTACATCAGGCTGGTTGTGCTGAATGAGCTTCAGGAACGTATCCACTTGTTCCACCGTTTTCTTTAGCATCAACCTCACCACACACTCTGCCATTTTCAACTTGTTCTCCATGGCAGCTGCGCCAATATCGTCTTCGTCCAGAACATCACTCTCTTGTAGATCTTCTAAGATTGTGGAAGCATCCAAATACTGTAAACCGGGAATGATTATTGCCATGGTCTAATTTCTGCGAAATTCGTGACCGCGTGGAAATCGCGAAATTTAGACAGCGCGAAGAGGAGATCCATGAAAGGTTTAGCAAGAATGCCACAGGTTTAGCAAGAATGCCATTCTGCAATCGCAAAATTAAAACCTCGCTAACCTGTCCGGATTCTGAAAACGCGAACTAAACACGCCGCGAAAATTTCACGCTTTACAGTATTAATTAGCAAATACGTACTTGATGTTCAGCCCTCACCAACGCTGTACAAAGCGTCACTGGCCCGTTTCTCAACGGTCGCGCTAATCGACCAATCAGCGTACAGCTAATGTACCAAAATTCTCAAACTTACCGTAATTCCTTGGTTCATACGGTGTAGTTTCCAAAGATTTTGTATGGACCAACGTCTTCTTTCGATAGATACCAACAGATCGTCCGCTTCGAATTTTTCGATTTGATTGCCGTTTGGCCGAAAATTACCTCCGAAACCGGCCTCCACTCGTTTCACTTCAAGGCTTTCCAGGTGGACGGCATCGCAATTCGGAAGCGGAGAAAGGATAGCCAGTGAAAAAAGAAAAACAACGACGTATTGGTTGTCAAAATCGACCAAGAAATGAATTCAATAGACCCGTTTCCGTGCTGCGCCCTCGCGGCCCGCGCGAGTGCGAAAGGGATTCTTTCTCGACAAAACAAACAACAACTACGCGCAGTACACAGGTACATGCAGGTGCTTTTTGCAGTGCAGTACACTGACATCACTGCACTGGCTGTATATACCTTAGGAATATCCTGTTCTTTTCCAAGGCATGATTGTCGCTAGTGGGAGAACTCAGCCACCTGAAGCTTTCATAAAGGAAGAAGTAGTAGGTGAATGAGTTCGCCAGAAAATGGAACGACAAGAAAATAGATACTGTTGCTTTCGGGCGCTCATGAGACGACGGCAAGATAGGACTGAAACGATCGACAGTCTGTCTCGACGCAAAAGAAACTCTTCTAGGAGAAGCTCGACGTGCTGTAGAGTTTGCAGTATTCTGCTGGAAGAAGACAAGAGAACTAAACTCAGACTAGTACAGCGTGGAGCTGAAGCACGAGCGAAGCAAAAGCTGAGCGAGTTCGCAGAAATGGGGAAACACAGGAAAATGAGTGGGCGACAAGATTCTTTAGCTCGAAGCTCGCGCTAAGACACGCGGTGGGCACGTGCGCCTACGGGTAGCGCGGCCAGCCACCATGCTTTCAAAATGGAGGTCGACGCTTTTGAAATCCGTGTAGACGATGGTGAGGGCTGATGTTGTATTTCACACTGTGCGGCATTGCGCCATGCAGATGCGGAGCACAAAACCGGCCTATAGCTTGACTCAATCACTCTTGTCTTCCCTGTCCAGAACTGCTTGTCACGACCTCTAAGCTTACGAAATAACGTCCCAACTAAAAAGTTACGTGGTCACTTAGCCACCAAAAATTCCCGGAACCCAGTCCCTCCCCATCAATCGAATGGCTCGCTACGCGGAACAAAAAGTCTGAGCAAGAGCAAGCCATAAATCACCACACACGCACCTGCACACACGCACACACACACACACACACACACACACACACACACACACACACACATACACACACACACACACACACACACACACACACACATATACATACATACATACATACATACATACATACATACATACTCAATCTGCGGACAGAAGTGTGTTGTCCTTTGTGGACTCATCAGCGCAGCACAGAGAAAATGAGGCCAAACCTGATAGCAATGAAAAATTAATAAATTTTCCAAAGCCAGATTTAAACCTGGCCCAAATGTACCTTGCCAGAGTGCTCAAACTGACAAGTCAGTGAGCCCTGCATAACGCAAACAGCAAAGGCACTACCCCACATGAGAGTGCTCAACTGCTACAAGAGCAGGAGCGAAATACTCAATCTGCGATCCTTCTATATACATACATACATACATACATACATACATACATACATACATACATACATACATACATACATACTCAATCTGCGGACAGCATGATGTTTCGTTCTTTTTGAACTCATCAGCGCAGCACAGAGGAAATGAGGCCGAACCTGATAGCAATGGAAATAAAAATTTCCAATCAGGCCCGAACGTACCTTGCCAGAGTGCTCAAACTGACAAGTCAGTGAGCTCTGCATAACGCAAACAGCAAAGGCACTACCCCACGCAAGAGTGCTCAACTGCTACAAGAGCAGGAGCGAAATACTCAATCTGCGGACAGCATGCTGTTTCGTTCTTTTTGAACTCATCAGCGCAGCACAGAGGAAACACACATACATACATACATACTCAAGTCTGTGGACAGCAACTGTTTCGCTCTGTTAGAGCTCCTCAGCACAGCTCAGAGGACCGAAGCGCAGCTCTTCGCAATGAAATACGTTTCCGTGAAGCAAAGCATTTTTATAAAGAGCTGCAAACCCCGCCAAGAGTGCTCGAAATGCTCCAAGAGCAGTGAGCGTTGCACACACATACATGCACATTGCACATTGCACACACACGCACTATGCGCACGTTTCTCCATACCGTGAGCTGCAGGCCGCGCACATGAGGACACTTTCCATCTACCCGCTGTGCTTCCTGCCTGTATTGGCATTGCTGCTGAGTGGCTGAGTGGTCATCTTGGCTAACGTGGACTTCATTCAGCTTTCTAGATAATGTCCTTTTTGTCCAAACGACCAGTTTGGCTTGCACACTCAAGTTTCTCAGTATACGACTTTGTTGTATTTTCTATAAACTTACTTGTTGTCAGTGACAAAAGGTAATGTTAGATATGTTACATGCAAGCACGACACTTCCGTAGACAACAAGAGAAGTCATTGAATGAGAGGAAAAAGGGTGTTTCTCTCGACTGCATTTGGCAAGGAGAGTAAAAGAGAATGTAGCAGCTCACAGCGGAGCAGGACATACTATGCAAGGTGTCAAAACAGGGTGCCAGTGAAGTGCTGCGAAGTGACAAAGTGAAGATAAACAGCACCTCATTATACGCCTATGTGCGTACACTAGGAAGTGGAGCATGGTGCAACTTGAACTGATGTCAAAGTGTGATGTTCAACAGTTCTGCTTGTGTTTGTCTTCACTTATCCCTTCACTTTCTGTCCACTGTAGTACTGTGAGTGCTTCACACTTCTTCACTGACTCACGTTTTCACACCTTGCATAACAGTTACGCTAGTATGAGCTGCTTCATGTACTTTTGCTCTCCTTACCACATGACTGTAGTCACAAGTGAATTCTGGAGACAAGCGTTCTGTCTTATTCAAATAATCTATAAGATACTATTCTCTAAAAGAGCAGTACGAGGCATGTGGCCTCTAATTTCCTAAGGTACTATAAATTCTACTATTCTGTTGGCTTTATAATTTTTATATGGATTGTGTTTATTTGACACTGTATATTGTCTTTGTTCAATATATCCACTACAGTGGCATGATCCTTGGGTATGCAATGGTCAGTGGCAACCACCTCCAGGTAAAGAAATGTGCACACCCACTCAAACAGCTTTAACCTTTCCTTCCTTGCCGTACTGTAACGGTTACTTCTTTGTCCTGCTGTGTCTTTCTTGTAACTCTTACTAACAATTCTTCTCCCTGACCTGATTGTGTCACACTGGGTGACCCCGTGACCGACTCACTGGCTCACACCGGGTGGGTGTGTGACGCACTGGCAGAGCATGTATTATGTGTCCCGTGAACTCACACTAACCACAGGGCGTGCACAATATCAAGCCACAATACTGATCCCAGAGAACTTCTGGCAGGTATCAATGCCAGCCTGACAAGTGTGATCTTATGTTTGATATCAGTTACAACCTGACAAGTGTGATAGTGTGGTAAATATCAGTTACAACTAGACAAGTATGATCTTGTTTTTAATTTTGTATGCACTGCAGCAATACTATAACCACTTGACTGAAAAGCAACAGATCCCACCGTGGCTGGTAATTGCGTGTGGAGTAATGACTGTCATCACGTCTGGTGTTCTGCTTGGGCTGGTAAGTGGGCAGTAAGACAGAATGGGATACATAATACGCCGTTACATGACATTCTACATGTACACAGTTACTTCCACACTGTGCACAGATACTAAGTCACACTTTGCACAGGGATCACTGAGCCTGCAGACACTAACAGTGCTTTCAACACCTGCATAATCTAATTCTTGTTTTCAAACTTCTTCTTGAATCTACAGTCTCCATCAAGGGAGCATCGCATGTTTTTAAGATGTTGACATGTTACAGAAACAGCATTGACATTGTATTTTATTGCAGCATCCCAAAGCATAATAAGAACACTTGCACAGTGTAATCATTGCTTAGCTCACTGAAGCCTATCATAGCTGTTATTTAGCATAGTAGTCTTGTACATGTACGGTGTGGCACGCTCATTGCCTGCATGGCTTATGTTACCGATGTCTCACCTGTCTAACTCTGCTGCTGCTGCTAGGTATTGCTCTTCTGCATCAACATGTTCAACAGTGTGGTTATGCCCGCACCACCAGTGCCAGTGCCACAGCAGGCAACCCAACCGGTAGGGCCGGACCCAACGTTTGGCTCTACTGGAGAGAATGACGAGCCTGATCGCAAGAAGGGTACGTGCATACTGCATACTGCATACTGCATACTGCAATATTCATGTATACTGTATAATTATTACATGTACCGTAAAGTACCGTTGATCCGCCCCCTCTCTAATTCCCGCCCCTGTCGATTTTCTACCTGTGAAGCGACTTCGGCGTATTCAACGAAATACGATGAACCGACGCATGCACTGCTGTACACAATACGTGCCAATCCAGGATGAAAATGTGCACACTTCAGCACATTGAGTCTGATTTTTACGTTGTTGTACATCGTACTGCACTTGACAGCCTTGATCTAATTCCCGCCCCCTGCCCAAAACCCAGCTGGGAAGCGACATGGCGGGGGGGGGGGGGGGGGGGGGAATCAACGGTATTTAACGGTACATATCTGTGTGAATGTACTCGTGGATATGGAAATCCGGTCGCACGTCTAGCGGCCCCAGGGCGCTGGCCATGCAGCCGTGGGTGAGCGGTACATATGCGCTGGTCATTCGACTGGATTTCCATGTCCACGACAGTTGAAAGGAACTCGTAACTCGTATCCATATGTCCTTTTCCTTTGTACATTTATTATTGGCTCAACATACGAGTTTCAAATATCTGTGTGAATGCACTATTGTGTGTCTAGTAATAAATAATAATAGTACAGCACGCATATATGCGCATATAGCTCGAATGAAAAAATCAAATGAGGGTCATGCATCTGTGGACAACGTCGAGCCAGTGCGCTCTGTCTGAGGCAAGTTGCTCCGCTTCCAAAATAGACATGTTGAGAAGTGAAAGGTCATTCCTAATGTTGGCTACCCATCTGGTCACTGGGCGAACTCTGGGCTTCTTTATATATTTTATATATTTTTTGGCGCTACACTCTGCGTATATACTGCTCTTGTGTGGCTTCCACGGTATTCATTGTTATTACCTGACGATGGCCAAGTGCCGAAACGTTGTAAAATAACGGAACTGGTTCGGATGTGATATGCAGCGCTATGGGAATGGGTGTGTCCACCCGAATTCTTTTCTTTATATTTATTGCCATCATCATCATCATCTGCGTTGCTGGAAAAAAATAATATAAATAGTAAAATAAAAAATGTAGAAAGGAAAAAGACACTATGGATACGAGTTAAGAGTAACTCTCCATCACTGTAACATGATACTTTATACAGTCAGAAAGTGCAATAACTAGGCACAAAACTGACAGAGTATTGAGTACTGAGAAAATAAAAAATAATAATAATAAACGGCATTATGCAGCTGTGTAAGCAGTAGATGCACAGTGCCATGCACTTATGAAAATATAGTGTGTTGTACATGTATGTCTGCAAGCACGCATGCGCCTATCAGAAGCCTGGATGGAGACTTATGAGCTCTAACGGCTACCCAAGGCTAGCAGTCATGGTATCCTGTTTTGTTTCATTTCTTTAGGTGTGAAAGCTTCCCCCAAGCCATCTCCAAAGCCCTCTCCACAACCCTCTGCAGGAGTTGCCAAGGACAGCTCTCTGACAACATCTCCCAAGCAGAGAAAGGTACAATAGTGTTGAGATAATTTCCACTTACTAGTACTGAGCTGGTTTTGCTCGCGGCTGCAACGCACGGGGTAGTGAACCCAGGACAGAAGCGGACCAGGCATCATGACTTTGCACATCTATCGTTATGCTGCTTCATTACGCGACCTGTTTTTTTATTATTATTATTAGTACTAGTATCATGCATGTACTTTGAAGCACCACAAGTATGCAAGTGCAATCAATGTCCATGTGTGACTATGGCTAATTGTGTTCATCTTTTCTTGGCCTCTTTTGGTTGAAATGCTCAGGGCAAGAAGCTGAAGGCGTCCACTGACTGAAGACGGATCAATTTGCCGATGTGTGGCCCAGACTATTGACTAAGATTAGTCTTGACTTGTTCTCACTGCTTTCTGCTAGCACAACGTATGCATAAATGTGCTGTCAGGCAATGTGACATCACACTCGCTGAGTGCATTCTCTGTTTCTCCTTTTGCCTGCTGTAAAAAGTAAGCTTCTCTGCAGTCTTATGACCCATCTGTATATTGTTAGAATCGGTGACCATGTCAATGACTTGTTTAGTCTTAGAGCAGTTCAGCGCTTCGTGTAAACAGCTGTTATGATTGATCATTATCACCACGCAAGCATACCCTGCATTGAAGTCTTGTTTCCATGCTGAGGTAGCTACAATATTTCAAGAACTGACCGCTAGCGCATGCCAATGTGCTTGTTAAGCTGTCTAGCTGCACTCCCTGGAGAAGCCCGATTATCAGTCATGTTGCCGACATGCGCTTAGGTTACTGCTGGTTCTGTGAGTGTGACTGATGACAGTGATGTGCCATGTGATACAGGCTAGGTGTGCACTTCCAGTTACGTTGTTTGTCTCGCTGTTTGTCTTTTGAATGCTGGTCTGGTCTTTTTATAATAATATTTTATTCGTATTGGTGTTCATGACCAGACGGCCATTATGTGCAACCAAGAGTACATAACCTCCAAGAGTGTGCAACTCGGCTAGTATGGGTGCTGTCCCGCGACAGAATTTCAAGTTGACGTCATTTTTATGATGCAATGCGCACTGTACACGGATTATCAGATGAATCCGTAACCTGTGGTGGACCAAAGCCCATCTGATCCTGTACAAATTATTGCAAAGAAAAACCTGTAATGCGTTGACACCCGTACACATGTTGTAAATCACTGGTGCAAGGAGCATTGCATCATAAATAATGACGTCAACTTGAAATTCTGTCGGGACAGCAGGGTATGTGGGAGTTGCACACTCTTGGGGGGTTATGTACTCTTGGTGCAACCTACTGCTGTGTGTGTAGTGCGTGCTTACGTGTGTGTGTGTGTGTGTGTGTGTGTGTGTGTGTGCCTCCGTCGCATGTCTGTTTTCCACATGCGATGCGTGCGGTCGATAAAAACTTATGTGTTTGCCGTCATTGCCTAGGTTACGATCGCAAACACGTCATATTCCTGCGCTATGCCTTTTTATTTTGAAAATTTGTACCGAAATCAAAACTTCCCGCGGAAAAATCGATGTTTCTCGTACCAAATTTGTGCGCGAAAAATCTTTCTACACTCGATGACGCAAAATCTCCATACGAAACATGGTTCGTATGAAAGCCAGTCCACACGGATTCTCCACGCCGAAAATCGTATGAAGTACGCCTCGAAAAAATCCGTAGTGCCCATACCTATTTTGGCACAGAAAATCGTACCCTGGACCCTGCCAAACGAGAATTCACATTTATCCGTTCATATTCTTGTGCATGCCAACCATCACCACCTGGAGTGGCTCGACATTTGGCTACAGAATTATTTATGATGGACTGTTAATACTTTCACATGATGTGAACCGTTATTGTTTGGCATTTTCATCCTAGCCCTACGAAGAGGTGGCAAGTTGTTGCAAGAAGGACCTGCTCATCATGTGATGAAATTTGAAGATTGCTCAGGGCATGAGTAGTGCGGGCCAACCGACCAGACTGCCCCAGTACAGATAGTTAGCAATGGGTGGGGGTGGGGGTAAGCTGTTGCTCTGGGCACTCACTGATCGGCTATCATTGTGAGTTACCCCAGCACCGGCTCCTACACACACATACTTTTAAAATCAGTCATCTCTAATCACTGCCTGGTTGTTTAAAAAATTAATGGGGAAGTCTCGCAGGGGGGGGGGGGGGGGGCACAAAGTCACTTTGTTGCAGAGTAACCAGCTCCAAGGCCAAGATGCACACCAGTGATCATGTGACCCAGCGCATGTTGCGGGTTAGTGGTCACTTGCCTCTATCTGCATTTTGGTACAGCAGTCGAGGCCACAACAGCACGGATGGTGTGCCTGCGACTGAGGAAAAAGAGAATCAGGATTAAGGGTGGGTAGCACCAAGCTGAATTGCAGAGCATTAGTTCTATTGTTACCGGTGGCATGTGTTCAGTCTACATGACATTGTATTTTAATGTTAAGATGTGCCGGGCTTCACTGAACTGCAGTGATGAGTTCCAAGGTCATATCACAGTCTTGTTATGTGCACTGCAAAGCATCATTATCAAGTTGTATATCAAGTTGAAGCTATGCACTTCATTTAGTAGCCACAGTATGCAGCAGCAGCAGCCTGGTGTGGGTGTTACACTAGTAATGTTACTAGTATCCCCGTGACACGGCACTGTCCCCGTGACACGCACAGTCCCCGTGACACGGCACTGTGTCCGACTATACTATTACTTTGGAGTAGTGACTAGACTAGAGCGTATATCACAGTAGCACAATTCTTAACTCGTTACCTGCATGCATTGCACAGTCTCTGGATAAGCCACTGAGACAAGCCGCACACGCAGTGGGCAGTAGCGTGGACCGAGTTGCATATAGATGCGGTTGCCATAGTTACATATAGATGCGGTTGCCATACGATGGAGTGCGGTCTCGCCCAGACTGTGCCGGGCCGAAATCTCCATGGGCGGCCATATGCCAGTTGTCGTTGGCATGTACTTCGGATGGCAGGCCTGCATCCTCTTCATTGTTGCGCTTCTTCTTCTTCTTTTGCCCAGCCGTGGCTCTCTTGCTGCTGCTGTGGCTACTCTTGGCTTCACGGGGTGTCTGACACCACCTCACCAACGCCAGGATGCTGAGAGCGGCCTGCAGCACATCACAAGTACCAGCCATGCAGAATAGCTTTTAAAACAAACTGTGCAGCAGTGCGTTGGGATAGCCCAAGCAGAGGGCCATATCAATAGCTGTGCTGTGCTGCCGCTACATTACCAGGAATAAATTAAAAATAATCCTGCACACAAAAATTCCTGCCACCTCACCCCTCCCTGCCACCATGCCATCCGATCATAGTATTCAGTTTGGCGTGGAATAATTCGGACCACTCAGTACGAATATAAAGATATGCGATTACATCATCTGACAGCTGAGATGCTTTGGCGAAGCTGCGGACTCACAGCACAGCGCTGCACTTGCACTAGCGACTCATGCTGTATATTAATGCACCCATTAGAAAACCTGCCATGAAATCATTCCCATAACTTATATTATGATCCCTGCCGGGAGCGTGAGCTGCAGCTCGTAGTCACAACATACTACATGTACATGACCGGATCATGAATGGGGGAAAGGTGCAAGTGTGATTAAACCCGAGAAGCATGAAGTGCAGTGCAACAAAAAACAAAAACAGACAACAAATGGACAAAACTAACGAGTTGTTGACAACCTCCCTAACAGCCTAAGCGTGAATCTGATCTATTTACATAAGTTCAACTTCGCATTGCGTGCACGTGACAGAATTGAAAAACAATCATCTGAGTACACTGCACGACATTCAGGATGCTCTAACGAATGACAAGCAATGGACGAATCATACTTCTCAGAACTAACATTAGAACATTCAGAATGCACAGAGGACAAGTTCGACATCAAATGCGTAGTCGACTCAGGCCGCTGTTGACTACGCCGTTGCTCTGCATGCCACCACCACCGCCGCCATTGCCGATCTCGTCATCCTTCTCGTTTGTTGTCTTTGCCAGTAAGTAAGTTAGTGGGTATTCTTTCAGGTTGCTTCTTTGGCGGTTTGCCAAGCTTGAGATCAGTGGACACTTCCGATGATGGTTTACTGGCGTTATTCACATGGATAGTTGGTTGTGAGGTGACATTCTTTGGGATTAATGCCACTGTGTTGGACCATCTTGTTCCCGGATGACTCTTCGGCGGGCGTCCCCTCCGTGGTCGTGTGGGATGTGCGTGTTCAGGGATGAGGTTCACGCTTCTTGGGTTTACTCACACTTGCACCTTTTCCCCATGGCGCTACTTTCTATGTGTGTGTGGTCAGGCATTTGATACATGGCCGCAGTTGTTCTATTCTGTTCCCAGCGTGTAGTATACTGTATAGCTTGGGTATTGATCGCGGAATATGCCCGTATCATTTATACTGAACCGTAGCAGGGAGAAGTCGGAGCGAATAGAGTATAAACACTGACGTAAATGCCAACCCGAATTAGTGGTAGCGACTTCGGCATTGATTTGTTAGGAAAGGGAGGGAAACGGATAGTCTCTGTAAGTTTGTATGCCTGGTGATGCTTGTACCGGGAGAGCACTGTATAAGTGGTGCTCTTCAGGCACAATCTTCCTCGGCCTACTCAAGCTCAACTGATGAGGGATGAATTACCCGAAACACTGTGTATTGAGCAGGGAGTGGTGCTTTCTTGCAGGTTTGCCGAGTCGAAGGTTCGATGGACTTGAAGTCTTCTCGTGTGCTCTGGATGGCGGTCATGAGTCAGTCAAGTGTCAAGTCAAGTCGGCGGTAAAGTGCGAGCTCCAGTGTGGGGATCAAACCCTTTCCTAAGTATATGCCAGGTCGTTGAATGTCTGTACGGTTGAATGTCTGTACGGTTGAATGTCTGTACGGTTGAATGTCTGTACGGTTGAATGTCTGTACGGTTGAATGTCTGTACGGTTGAATGTCTGTACGATTGAATGTCTGTACGGTTGAATGTCTGTACGGTTGAATGTCTGTACGGTTGAATGTCTGTACGGTTGAATGTCTGTACGGTTGAATGTCTGTACGGTTGAATGTCTGTACGGTTGAATGTCTGTACGGTCTATTTCATGCAACGTTATCACATAATCCAAGTACTGTCGTGGACATGGACATTCGGTCGAATGACCGGGGCCGGCGCCCTCAGTGCGTACAGAATGTTGCATGTGTGTACCGTATGCAGAGTCACGGCTGCATCGCCAGCACCCTGGGCATGGGACCGCTTGACGTCACGGCTGCATGGCCAGCACCCTGGGCACGGGGCCGCTTGACGTCACGGCTGCATGGCCAGCACCCTGGGCATGGGACCGCTTGACGTCACGGCTGCATGGCCAGCACCCTGGGCATGGGACCGCTTGACCACCAACCGGATTTCTATGTCCACCACAGTACTACAGTCAAATCTGTCGTAAGCGACCGCCCCTTGGTGCAAGAAAAAGCGGTCTCTTACGGCAGATGGTCTCTTACGGCAGATGTATGGTAAATTCGGCATACCGGGCATGCATATATGCTTCCATGTACTCAAATCGACGAGAATAATGTGATTTTTAATATCATTTTATTGGATATTCAATAGAATATAGGGGTGCACAAACCCAAGAATAGTGCACATACCAGGGCTAATCTTGAGCGCTACAGCGCAGCCTCAGTACAGGCCAGGGCCAGTCGATCGCACTTGCAAGACAGCGCATTTTCACACCTTGCAGTTTACAGCGCACTGGCAAGTACAGTTTTGCACCTGACTGAACCTGGGTCGCGGTCGCTTACAGCAGATTTGAATGCAGCCATTGTGCATGAAATCGCGGTCGCTGGTCGCGCACAGCAGATGGCAGGCGCGTCGGAACGACTTTGGAAGTGGGGCGGCCATGGAAGGGGGGTCCGGGGCTCCTCCCCCGGGAAAAAATTTCAAAAATTAAAGCCAATTGCAAGCATTTCCGGGCATTTGGTGCCATTTCAGTGTACGGTAACTACAATGAAAGACTTTTTGATTCTGCAAAAAACCAAGAAGATGCTACGATCGGGGACAAACATTACCCTCCCCCGGGAAAAAATTCAAAAATTGAAGCCAATTGAAAGCATTCCCAGGCATTTGGTGCCATTTCAGTGTACATGTACATGGACTTTTGATTCTGCAACAAACCACGATCGGGGACAAGGATTTGCCACGTTTGCGCTGAGATCATCGCGCTTTGTTGCAGTGTGCTAAAAAAAAAAAAAAAAAAAAAAAAAACGGCCGAAAAAGTAGGGCAGCCATGGCCGCCCCGGCCGGTGCGGTTCCGACGCCCTTGGATGGTCGCTCTGGACAGGTCAGTTTGTATGTGAAACCGTCGGTGCAATGAAAATCGGTCGCTAACGGTAGATGGTCGCCTACAGCAGAGGTCGCTAACGGCAGATTTGACTGTAGTATCAGATGGTTAGAAGTGGTATTTGACGGAGGCCTGTACGAGGAGCGTAACTAACGTTAGTTCATTCTTTTATAAAAAAATTAAATTATTCTTGTCAGTCATTGGCTTTCAATTACTGTCGTGGACATGGAAATCCGGTCGCACGTCTAGCGGCCCCAGGGCGCTGGCCATGCAGCCGTGGGTAAGTGGTACGTCTACACACGTGCATTTATGCGCTGCAGCGCGCTGGTCGAACATGTGAACTGCATGCAACACTCTGCACGCGCTGGCCCCCGGTCATTCGACTGGATTTCCATGTCAACGACAGTACAATGCGTCTTGTTATCACTCTCTTAGTATTGACTCTCATTGATTTTCGCTATACCTAAGCAGTCAAATATTCCTGCATATTTCACTCCTTAGGGCTATACTGACTGCTTATATTTGACTGCTTAGGGGTTGCGCAGTTGAACGGTGCCTAGTGCAGCATTGTCACTGCATGAGTAGGTGGTGGTGCAACGGTTGTGCAATCATAAAATCGGGATTCATGAGGTTATCGTTCTGGAATTCGAAATACGGACTGTTTGTCGTGATAAATCTAATATTGACTTCGTACTTGGTCAGTATAGGAAATAAAAACCTCGTAAAAGACCTCGGCTTCGCCTCGGTCTTTTACTCGGCTTTTATTTCCTATTGACCAAGTACTCAGTCAATATTAGATACCTAATGCTAAGCGCTGACACCTTCGAGCCTCTTACCCAGCCTCTAACCCAGCCTCTAACCCAGCCTCTAACCCAGCCTCTAACCCAGCCAGTTGTCAACAAAGTAATTAGTTACATGCAAACCCACAAAGTGAATGTTACCATGGTTACCGGGATGTCTTACCCATAAACCGAAGTTGATGAAACACAGAGCCAGTGTAGCTTGTCCATCGATCTCTCTCAGTGGTATGCCCCGTTCCATGGCACGACGCATGAGAAACGGCCTGCTTTCCCATTCGCGGAGCAGCACAGCAAAGCAGGCGATCCAGATTACAGCCATGGCAGTTGATGTCAGCGTGTCTATGGCACGCTGCATGAAGGGACTGAAACTAGCTCGCTCCTCCAACACTTCATCAGCCAGTATGACCAGAGTATCTAGCACCAGCAAGATCGTTCCGGCAATGAAACCCACCGCTCCCACGGCCATACCCAGGCGACATGCCTCGTCCCTCGAATTGAAGATGCACAGTTCACATCGAAAACGACCCTTGTCGGCGATCAGGCCCAGTACGGCAATACCACAAAACTGTCAACAACGAGGAAAAGAAATGACACAAGCTTGGAAATGGTTGCCATCGGTAAAACAACGTTTTTAGGAAGCCGCACAGCAACATTTCGGACATACATGTACAGATCATACGGTATGTAGCTATGATGTATGTAGCTATGATGTATGTAGCTATGATGTATGTAGCTATGATGTATGTAGCTAGACTTTCTTGATTGTTTTGTACAGTCATGTTGACCAGAGGCAGAGCTAGAGGAGTAATGCCGTACTGATTACCAGTAGATCTACTTACTGCTTTCAAAGGACTACAGAAGTCAAACTCATGTACATACACCAATGATTATGTACGAAGAAATACGTGTAAAAGTCTTGGATACTGTTACTGATATGATATTGGGCAGCTTGACCGTAGCAATACAGATTTCACAGAGCGGCAGCAAGCTGGTTGCATGCTGACTGTCAAGCGTCAGACAGTTTCTACTTTCGGAAGGAGGAGCGCTTCGGATGCATGTAATTCACATCATAATAACAACTGGTGCTTTGTATTCTCATATTATGAGAATACAAAGCACCAGTTCGATCCCACGCGATCCCATCTCACTCCCGTCCCAAATTCCATAGTATTTTATTATCCTATTCTGGGTTTTCTAGCTGCATGATTCGTCATTGGAGTTACAGAGTCAGTGCAGAACCAACAACAGCCAGAAGGCACAGAATAAGAACAAGACCGTAGGAGCACGAGGGTGCCCTCAAGCCCTTCTTATTATCAGTATGAATCTCCAAGTCTTATGGCATCAGTAGCATACAGAAGCTGCACAGAGCCCAGGACAAGATGGAGGGTATAACGTTACTCGTTAGGTGATGTAGCAGCAGCCTGGGTGCACAGACTACTCACCACAGCCATAGCACGGACAGTACTCACCACAGACATCGCACGCAGGACAAGCGTCGTAACTGCTACTGGATGTGCTCCCATTGTTATCGGCCGTTTCGCTTTCGGTTTCAAAATGGAGCGGGCAAATCTGCGTTGAAGGCGCGTGCCGGTGCTGTTATGACGGAGGAATAGTCTCAACAAGAGAAGCCAGTACGATCACTTCAGGGATGGCGTATCGTCTTCCAAAATGACTACATGGAGGTTTCTCTGCTGTTCAGCTCTTTGGTGACAATCACTGACATTCCTTCCCACCATTCAGTGTGGGCACTCTCCCTGTGTCATACAGCCAAGCACTGCGTCCAACAGTAGCCAGTAACACCAAGGCTTATCACGGTCTTCCTTCGCCGATCTACTCAGTGGGAACAGTCCAGAGATTCACTCGTTGCTTTGGCTGGAGGGAGGGACGCCTCTCTAACGGAAGCGGACGCGCACAGCTGAGGTTGTTTGCACAGGAACAAGGCACGTTTGACTGTTACCGTTGCAGTGGCTGCAAAGTAAGTCTTTGCCCTGGAATAGGGCCAATGTTACAGTGAACAATGACTGTAGACTAGTGTTTGTGATTATAAGCAGACAACGTCCAACAACTACGGTCACTGCAATCGACTAGTATGCCCAATGGAGCCCCAGGAAGCCGGCAAATGACGAACTAGCTATACTTTACGTACAGACTACAGAGTCATGTACGTATTGCCTGTCAAGTTAGTTAGAATGCTAAGCCCTGGTATTAGCACTGGCAAAGAATCAACTCATACACAGTCGTTGCATCTCGTCTTTACACACGACGACTATGCAGTGTGTCCTTGCCCTCTCCTCGATCCCTTGTTGCCGCACATGGCGTCACATGGCATCGCTACCATACATGTACATGGCCTCCCCCTACCCCCCCCCCCTCTATATCTATCTCTCGACACATGCCCAAACCCGTACAACCAGCCGCAATCTCCGCCGTTACGCAGTTCTTCGTCAGTGAAGCGTCCTGCAGAGCGCTATGTGGCAAGCACCAACCGTCATCTCAAGTGATGGTCATCGTTACACCGACCGTCACGGTGCCAGTACAGCCAGCAATTTCCCTAGTATCGTAGTTCGCAATGCTAGCCATCCATGCGGTCTACATCACGTAGAAACATAATAATCAGGGACGACTCCCTCAGCTCATGAGTGTGGCCATCGGTGCTAGCGACACCAGTGTGATCATGAGCAGAGAAATGCAGCACTGTCTGTGCCTGTGGAATGTGGTGTGCACACTTTACAGCCTAATAAAGGTACATAATTATTGTACATAGATGTGGCTCTGGATACGCACTGCAGTCACGCTCATAGTCGACAGGGAATGGCACAAGCGAGGCCTGTGCCACAGCCACACGACCAATCACAGTGCTCACATAGAGTGTAGGGTCCAACACTTCTATGATGCCAGTGTCCATAATGCAGTGGGGAGAGAGAGAGAGAGAGAGAGAGAGAGAGAGAGAGAGAGAGAGAGAGAGAGAGAGAGAGAGAGAGAGAAAGAAAGAAGGTGTGTGTGAGAGAGCGTGTGAGTTGCTGCGTGCGTCTGTGTGTCTGTCTGGCAGTAATTGTAATTTTAATTGTCCGTATGTTACATAATGCGTATACTTGTGTGTGTGTGTGTGTGTGTGTGTGTGCGTGTGCGCGCGCGCATGTGTGCGCATGTATGTGCTTGTGACTTTGTGTATGTCTATAACGTGTGCACACGTACAGTCGTCTCCAGTCCAGATATCCAACGGGCAGATCAGGCAACCGGTTGTTGGCAGTCAGCAAGCATTGGGCACTCGCGGGTGCAAGCTACATGATTGTACATACATTCACTTACCACACTCCACAGTCTACAATGCCATGTACATTCACTTACCACAGTCTACATTGCACTATATTGTATGGCTATGGCTCAACAGTTGAATTCAGTAATTCAGTCATTTTCAGCCAGGCCAACACTCTACTACACTCCACAAAGGTGACGGACGACCGGCGTTGATCAGTGGACTAAATCATCCCTTTTTCAATTGCTGATACTGCCGCACGCAAAACGTAGCAGTTTCACATTTTTGCTTCTGCAAGCAAGTCAGTTCAGCGGATGGATAGTTTGAAGACAGACTATCTATGACAAAGGCTTCTTCACTAAGTACAGAGCAGGTGAGGAGAGCGGGTACTACCTTTACCCCCCCCCCCGCCCCCCTCTCCCTCTCCCCCTCCACGCACCGACAGGACCACACGCGCGTACATACACCGCACACTGATGGGACAGGCGTCAACTCACACTTTCACTTCAGCTACTGAGCCTAAAGCAACGGTTTTACTTCACGCACAATTATGTACTGATACGTGTCAAAAGGATATCGAGCCGTTCAACGCGGCTGACCAAAGACAACACAGTGGCCAGAAATAGTTAGGTTTAACTGTTTTGTTGCCACCTGGATGGAATCATGTAAGGGACAGAAAAACAGTTCATGCGTCGGCTCGACACAGTACTTCGACGTACGCTACGGCACCAGAGAGGCAGATTGACAAGACCTACAACAAAACAGAAAAACGCATGCATAATAGATTGCTTCCTGAACTTGAGAAGCAAAGAGAAGAGAAGGAAAAAGGAAGGGACAACTGGCAACACTTTTCAACACCGGATAGGTGACTCAGCAACAACAAGCGCAGCTGAGTCCGCAGCAAAGATAGGTGCATAGAACCGCCTAAGTTTGCACCCCTCAGGCACATCACAATGGGCCGGACCAAAGCAAAGCAGATCTGGCACCGGATGGAAGCCATGACGGCGCTGTAAGCCTCGCTGGTCTTGTCGGCGATCGGGGACGCTATTCTTTTGTAGAGAGAAGTGGCAGATTTCCGAGAATACGGCAGGAAAAAAGCTAGAGTGCTCCACTTCTCTGATTCGCTGCTCATAGGCACGGCGCTTGGCTTTTTGGTTACGAGCGTAGCTAGCAGCAAGTGGGTAGAGACGATTCGAGGACGCCAGGGGGTTAAAAACCCCGGACAAGCAGCAAGTGAGTTGAGACGATTCGAGGACGCCAGGGGGTTAAAGACCCCGGACAAGCAGCAAGTGAGTTGAGACGATTCGAGGACGCCAGGGGGTTAAAAACCCCGGACAAGCAGCAAGTGAGTTGAGACGATTCGAGGACGCCAGGGGGTTAAAAACCCCGGACAAGCAGCAAGTGAGTTGAGACGATTCGAGGACGCCAGGGGGTTAAAACCCCCGGACAAGCAGCAAGTGAGTTGAGACGATTCGAGGACGCCAGGGGGTTAAAACCCCCGGACGTCAATGTACATGTAAGTGGGCTCGAACCACCCTCCCCACGTGCCACCCACGTGCCACCGTCGTCACCATGTCAAGGCGGGCTCGTACCACCCTCCCCACGTGCCACCGTCGTCCGTCGTCACCATGTCAAGGCGGGCTCGAACCACCCTCCCCACGTGCCACCGTCGTCACCACGTCAAGGCGGGCTTGAACCACAGCCGTGCGGTAGCGGAGCTGCTCCCCATGCCCCAGTGGGTGGCTGTAGATGTGGCTCTGGTGGCCAACACGCTTTGCATAGACCCAAGGATGCTACCTTGCGGTACCCCTGCTTGGATGTGGTGCAGGGAGGACTCTTGGCCGCCCGCAACAGCCTGCAGGCGCCGGTTGTGCAGGTAGTTTCCAGCCATACGAGAAGCGGCCCTCTAAACCGTACACGGAAGCCTTGTGCAGCAGGCCAGTATGGCTGACTGTCACTTTACCAAAGGCGCCTGAACGGAAAGGGTCTGCTCCGAACGTCGGAGCTCGCGCTTCCTGCCGACTGATTTGGCACTTGACTGATTCACGACTGCGTCTGGAGCACACGAGAAGCCCGTCGAACCTTCCACTCAGCAAACCTGCAAGAAAGCGCCACTCCCTGCTCAATACACAGTGTTTCGGGGAATTCACCCCTCATTAGTTGAGCTTGAGTAGGCTGATGAAATTTCTGCTCCTTTGCCGAGCGGAAGGTTCCACGGGCTTCTCGTGTGGTCCAGACGCAGTCGTGAGTCAGTCAAGTGTCAAGTCAGTCGGCGGGAAGCGCGAGCTCCAACGTTCGGAGCAGACACTTTCCGTTCACTAATCACCGCCGATGTCGCAACATCTTTCGCCTGCTATATCTCTCGCCAAAATATGGGCGGCTCCTCCAAGGCCGGCTGCTCTGGACCATTCACAGTGGAGCTTGGTTAAGACGTCAGCCGTGCTCAGGCCCTTCCTGAACCCGAACTGTTTTGCAGTGATGACATTGTGGGACTCCAGGAAACTGGTTATCTGGCGATTTCCAGTCGTTTCCATCACCTTGGATAGTATACATGTAGGCTACATGTAGGTAGCAGAGCGGACACAGGTATTTATTCCCGTAGCTATGCAGAAGACGTTACTTCAGTAACGTCTGGCGCTAGCCAGGGTCCACACAGCTTTAATTTGGTGTTTGTTTGTTTGTTTGTTTGTGTCACGCCTGGCGCTATCCCGTATCTGTCCCGTACTGTACCGTACCAGCAAAGACAGCTGGCCACATATTTTTGTGTGTTTGTGCCATCGACATGCCTGGCGCTATCCCGTACCTGTCCCGTACCATCAAGAGTACGGTACCATCAAGAGAATAAGACATTAGTATATATGCGAAGTGTATCGGGGGAATGCATTCAGTGCAGCAACATTTTGTGTGGATTTGTGTCCGAGGCCGAGATCCCATTAGCAGGCTGGCTGGGCCGCCTGTCGACCTGCCCGGGAATCGCATGTAGGCGGATAGCATAATAACTATAACGTATAATTATACAGTCATGTAGATGTATAGCAGGGAGTCATATTATGTAAACGACTCACTGCTGTATGGGGAGATTTTCTGGAAAGAAATACGAAGTAGGGAGACGAGTAAATGCAATCAGAATGGATGCTGGTTGCCGCCAGTATAATAATAATAAGAAGATAAACGCCCGTGATCGGCAGAGTCAGCGCCGGTCCCAGGAAACGTCATCAGGACAGACATCCCGTCGACTGCAGAACGCCCGTGATCGGCAGAGTCAGCGCCGGTCCCGAAGCTATGCAGAAGACGTTACTTCAGTATCTCATTGAAACGTTTTGGCAATACAATGATGAAGCTGATCAAAGGAAAAAGCATTTCCACCAGTTCTAACAACATGCACGATGAGCTAGGCAACAAAGCATAGCGCAGGGCCCTGAGCTTCCAAGCTCTCTCGTTATTGTAATGTTGATGTGGGTTCTTGGATTTCCTCTTGTGAGTGGGTGTGACTCTAGCTGTCTTCCAGGATGTCTGCATAACCATGCCATAGAAGCTAGGGGAGAAAAGTTTGGAGACTGGCTTACTAAGGGGGTCAGCACACATCTTAAGAGCGCGGGAATGTCGTCTGGTCCAGTAGCTTTGAGTTCTCTCTTGACCGCGGCAGTGCGAAACCGAACCGCTGAGAGCTTTTCTGCCGTGCGCTGAGCAACATGGGGAAATCCGTGGCAGGTTGGTTGGCAGGGAAGTCGTCGGCGGCCAGACTGCACTTTGAGGAGAAATACTGCCTAAAACACTCATATTTTCGGGATACGACACACATTACAAGCCAGGCTAGCTGTAGCGTGAGAGCTGGGATGGAGGTGTTTCTGCAGTTGCCCGTGACCCAGGCTGCTTGCGTGATGGTAGACCACCACGAACGGTCACTCAGAGTCAGGCTAGCTTTGGAGAGCGTAGTGTGCAGGGTAGCCAGGCGGGCCACCTTGGCATACTGGATGATCTC